CTATAACAATTGATCCATAGGTATAAGAGTCGGTCGGTTGGTTTAAAATGGGATCCATATCCCTGTAATGTAGCTAGAATTATTTAGGATCAACGGAGGACTCAAGTTACATATTGTGGGTGGTTGAACTTGATGACCATATGATCCATACCATAGGACTCAGGGTATAGACTATGGGTGGTTGAACTTAATGACTGTGTAAGCCATAATGGAGGACTCAAGGTATAGACCGTAGGTGGTTGAACTTCATGACCGTGTGATCCATAACAGAGGAATTAAGCTATAGACCATGGGTGGTTGAACTTGATGACTATATGAAGTATTGGCTATAATTTATGGTGAAAATATGACTAGATCGGCGGAGGGCTCGAGCTATATACCGTAGGTAGTTGAACTTGATGACCACGTGATCTATAGCGGAACACTCTAACATGGAATGTGGCTTACTTTTGTGTTCGCCATATTCGATGGATATGGTCTCCCTGTCACCATAAGGTATTATTTTCGGATAATGTATTATCCATGTTTTATGTGTTGTTTTTGAGTAGGGGTGATTTCCATGATTTATGGTTTTAGGTATCGAGTCGTACTCGTGTTTTGGTACTTTGGATGATAGAGTTTTGTCCAAGTTCAAGTATTTGAGCATTAGACTTTATTCATGTTTTGTGTGAGTAGTTAGTGTTGAGTTCATATTTCAATGGGTATTTTGATTTACAACTTATCACAAAAATGGTGGATTTTAGAAAGATGTTGCTTTTATGATAAAGACATTTCATTTGATAAATTATGTTTTAATTAAGAAATCCTTTGGTTTTACCATTTTATATATTTATGATGAAAACTGCTTGAACTTACAAGACATTAAGACTAACATTTTTATTTACCGGCATGTGCATTAAGTTCTTGTTGAGAAATGGTACTAGCATCATCGTGAAGAGTTAAGTGCTAATTAGATGCTTAAGATGGATTTAACTATTCGGTGATGTCTTCCGCACCATGGAGATATCGACAATTTTTTGGTTTTAGTAGTACCTGTCCTTAATCTAGACTTTACTGTAAGGTTTAGCTTATCTCTTGTTGGTTAAACCTAGATTTTCTAATTGAGGTAATTAAGTATTGATTTGTAGAAAGGGTGTTATCCTTTATTTAATGTATTATTGAAAATTTTAAAATTAGTCGTTTTTTTTTTCCAAATTTCAGGGTGTTACATAGAAGATTGTATACTATAGATTAGAATGCAATGGATCCATATGCATAGAAATTGATTTTAATTGATGTGTACGGGATGATATTTCCTATTTGTAACTTAAAATAGGCATTGGGTTAACATAGGCAATATGATGTGGGCTCTTGGAATCGGGCATCAACCATTGACCAATATAATGTAATTTCTAAGTGAACGAGTTTCACTTGGATTTTGGAGATCTCCAGGATAGACCTAGTGTGGTTGAACTTGATGGCTCCAAAAGTAAAAGATTTAGAGTAGTTGAGTTTGTTAACTCATTAAACTATAGACATGAAATGGTTGATCTTAATGATTGTTAATTCGTAAGTGATGCTTATATAACATTAAAATTTGACTTACTTTTGTATCCCGTCATTGTCAATAGTAAATCGGGTCTCCCCCGCCATCATGAGATGTTTTATACCCTTCCAAGGGTGAATTTGATTTTAATGGACAAGTTGACTTAATTAAAGCTACGTTTTCAGTTTTATTGTTTTATAGCTTTATTCTATATTTATTTGACCTCACTAGCCGTTAAGCCTAACATTTTTTCTTAAATGACATGTATATCAAAATTTCTTAACGATGGGGCTCCTAATGCCGATGGAGCGATGATTGCCAGTAGATGCATTTTTGGCTTATCATCTTTTGGAGGACATTTGTGGAGTTACCATTAGTAGTATTCTTTTGGAGATTGTAGCGACACCCGATTATAATCTAAATCTAGAATTTGGTTTAAATTGGTAGGTTGTTAGCTACCGTCCATTTTTTTTAATGTAAACTCTCATACTATCTCCCTTTGTTGGGTGATTATATTTGATTTAGATTTTAATCCATTTTATTTATACGGTTTAAATTGTCTCGTATTTTAGGGGTGTTAGAATCATAAACGTGTAAATCTTTGGTAACCGCCTTTCTATTGCTTGTGAGGATTTTGAAAATACAAACTATATGGTTTTGGTCCTTTTGGCCATTATATTTCAATGAAGTGTCGTATATGGACCTATTCATGTTATAGGAGCCACATATTGTTAAATATTGTAAAATATTTCTTTTCGGCTTATGTGGTTTACATTGGCTTTGCTTGAAATAGTCAAGTGTCTTACGAGGACTTTGATTTTAATTCAAATGAGTTTTGGGGACATTGTTCGGTTTTAATAGCTCAATATGTTGTTTTAGAAGTATAATGCAATTATTTCATATTTATTGAACATTACATGCCTTGGGTGTGTTAGTCATTCCATTAGGCTCGTGTGATTTTAGAATGTAATGTATTGGATCCACAAGCATCGTTTAGTCACTGATATTGATATTTGAGAACTCGGTATTGCGGAGAGGAACCTGTATGGGTTGGATTCTAGGACTGTAGTCCATATTGCAAAGAAGAACCAGTGTGGATTGGACTTCGGGACCATAGATACTGCGAAGGTGATATCTTGTTGAGTCGGACTCTAACCCACACTGGTTCCTCTTCGCACTACCAACTACAATCCTAAAGTATGACCGGAAATTTGAGCATTGCGATGCTCAAATTTCCGACCAACACATAAAGTCCTGAATACCAGGACTGTAGTCCAGGATCGTGTAAGATTCTAAACAACCCTTTCATTGCTAAGGTGATCTCTTGTTGATCATGGCCGGATATTTAAGCATGGTAGGGAACTTTATATATTTTCTGTATTAAAGTTAGTTTGCCCTATCACCCAGGACCAGGAGCATGGCCGGAAATTTGAGAAGCAACAACATTTTGGAATTTTAATCTGAGTTTAATGGTTAATAATGATGAATGTTAAAACCATAACGGTAAATCATTGAAATTGCTTTCATATCTTAGTGTAACTATCATAAAATTCTATTTTGCAACTATTTCACTTAATTTATTTTATATCATGCTAATTATATTGTGTTATACCCTATAAACCAGATTTATCAAAAGTTTTAAAAACAAATTTTTAATACACAAAGTACTATACATTTATGCACAAAGTCTTAAAAGTCTTTAAAACTACTCATAACCCATTAAGTACTATTATTTTATGCATTCATTCTTAAAAGCTCTTAATCTACAATTAAAATAACATATGATACAAATTACCAATACACATTATTATCTTTTCTTTTCATGTTTCCAAGATACCTTTGACATCTTTCACTCATGCCTTCACCCTCTCATACCTCTACGTCTTCTCCCCATCTCCAATGTGAGATTCAAACTTCACCATGAGTTATTAAAAGTTCTCTCATTCATCTCTAATTCAATTGCTGTAGAATTCACGCTCTCGGTCTCGATCTCTTGATTCTTTGCTCTTGGTGTAAATCGAACACATTTGTGAAGTCGTTTAAATATATTGGATTTTAAACTGTCATACAATTTTTTTCATCKATAGAYTGTAATTGGAACCATAACTCTTATTTGTTCAAATTGTATTAATATGTAAAGACCAAGTATAACTTATATCATCGTTAATTTTTTTTTAATAAAACCAGTGAAACTTCAAAATCGTTAAAATTCACAGCTCCCGCCGTATTACACGGGTACACAACTAGTATTGTATCGAAGAAAAAGAAATATATGGATTCACATCTGATTTTGATTGTTGGTTTAAATATTTGGGTTTTGTGTCGACTATTTAACTTCTCTCACTTATTTGGATACATGATGTTTGCATTTCTTTTATGAAATTTCACGCATCGATATTTCCATATGTTCTAGAAAGAATGACACTAAATATTTCCATCTGTTCTAGAAAGAATGACACTAAAAACCGAGTCGATGTTTCCATCTGTTCTAGAAAGAATGACACTAAAAACCGTTATCCTTGGCGATATGGGTGTCCATCGATTCACCTCACTGAACCAATCTAATAGATTTGCAATACCAATCGTTGTTAGCTTGTGCTTTTCCCCTTCATTTTCAACACTCTACTTGTTCCTTGGTCCACTTTTGGGACCCCCAAACATGGTCGCCATCCTCGAGTCTTTGTCGCACTTGTGAATGTCTTTGATATGTTTGAAAGGGCGGGCTAAATGCACCCCTACCTATTAATTTCCCTCTCACACACATCAATATCAAAACTTAATTTTAACATCTCCAATGCATAATTTAACTCTGATTAACATTTCCAATACAGGCTAAATACCCGTATCCCTGCCTAATGGCTATCACCATAGAAAAATACTATTTCATTCTATGAAAAAGCTGCAAAATTTACTAATGAAACCACCAAACTTTGTCGTGGTCTTGGAATGATGATTGGTTAGCGACCAGGGCTACAACTATTCATTGGAACCAGTTTAGTTTGTAGGATCCTATGGAATATGAATTTCTTGAGGGAAAAAACTGCAAAAGGTCTTTAAAGACACGAACATACTTCTATCCTAGAGGTCGATGTTGAAATCCCCCTTATGTGCCAGGTATAAGTGCATAAACACAAACCCGATATGTATTTTAGTAGGATTGAATTGTACATTACAAGTGTTTTGATCGAGTTAGAATTCACTAGGCCGAAATAATTAAAGTTGGGTAATTCAAATGCCCTCAATCCGACCAACCAATTCATCTAGCAGCCTTAGGCACTTGATGGGTTGGTAATAGGAATGCTGACAAGGAAATGTTAACAATAAAAGGGTCTTTAGTTTAATGATATCGAGTAACCCAATCTTCCTAGAGGTGAAAGGTAGGGAGTGAGGTAAAAGACTCGTTTCCCTAACCCCAATGACTCTTGTACACATGGAGATATCCATCTTTAACGATAAAAACAAGATCCATCTTGCACCATACGTTATATAAAGGTTTCCTAGGTCCGGCTCGAAGAAGCAAAAAGAAGTAGCAACAATGTAAATAAGGCAAGCATGCATGTCTAAGATAAAATTGGGAGTCTACTAAAAAGGGGGGCTACCCTCTGCTATAAATTGCGAAGCAAGCCAGCGACAGATTTGGCATATTGGACACCTTTCTTCAGAAAAATATTCAAACCAGAAGATAAAAAGGTTCGGAACTTGTTTGCTTTATGGCAGCCGGCTGGCATCACAAGATTACCTTCCCCTTGAAGTTAGATTTCATTTGAAAGCAATTCAACCCAACTTCTGCTTCTGCCCATGCCATTAACCAAGATGTGTCTTTATCTCAAGCTCCTCCACCACCCAGATCTTCCAAATACCATATCTATCAAACCCTTTTACTATTTCTGCGTAGATTTCACACAGCTCTTTGAAATGCCTGAAATATCCTTTTTATTTGTTGTCGGAATGCTTTTAATAATAATCACAGAAGACCCTCCATCTATTTGTTTCTTGAGGGAAGAACTGCAAAAATAATGCCCGTGAGGGGAGAACAAACTATTTTTTTCCTACAGTCCTATACTATCAAGAGTGTACTTATGTATGGTAAGACATCACATGCCTCTTTTCTTGTACTTGGCTACAATTATCCTGCTTCTTGTCATGCACTGCTACCAACGTCTTGCACTGTTCATGTCCCTACAAATGATAATATAAAAAAATTTGAGTACTTGCTCAGCCCCTTATATCGCATTCCATGAAGAAGCGTTGTAAACCAACTACGGTAACGTCATTTAATGAGAACGTGATGTGCTGATGAATTTTTTTTTGTTAACAATGCAACTCTTGATAACCTAAAGCAGAAACTATATATCTAATATGTCATTGTATTCTTTTTATGAAGCTTCTATGTAGAGGAAGAGTATGTAAATCAAAATAAGAAATTGCAACTTTTTAATTGATATGCATGGATCAATAATTAGTGATTAGATAACACAAACCATCTTTCAACAATGTGGAATAATATCATCACAATTCAGTAGAATAGGCGGCTGCTGTAATCCCAAACAAAGTAACACAACTCAATAAAGCACAATTCCACAAGATCTTGGAAGTCGTACTCAAACAGAAGTACTAGGTGCTTTATGATCATACTAAAATAAATACATATGAGCAAGGACCTACAAGAGTCGACGTAACTATTAAAATGACTATTCCTCGAGGGGAAAACTGCAAGTAGTAGTTGCAACGTGATCAAAATTGGTCCAAGATCATTGCCATGGACATTTATTAGCATATGGTCGGTCCATCATGCCAACTGTGTTTATTCACCATCTGGATAGATGGCATATGACTTAAAAGAGGTGACAGAAGACCATCTAAATTAGCTCATCGATTGCATATTAGTTGGGAAAATTGAATCTAAGCCTTTCAAAAGATTTTGTTGTGCATAGGTCCTGCATATCATCTTTAAATCATCATTGCTATAGACATTTTAGAGGGGTACAATGCATAACAAGTTAGCAATCACACCGATTAATGCCACTCAACCATGATAATAACTTCTCAGAGAAATTTAGCAGTGAGGCTGCTTCAAACTAGAAATCAGAGCATACACACATGAAATCATAGAACAAGTAACTTTTTTCATAAGTTAGCTAGAACATTTACATAGGTGCCCACACCTCGTAGATACAAATAAAAACACAAACAGATTGGGGAAACATGATTAATGCGGAGGCACAAAGCAAAATCAGTCAATGATTATAGTTATAGATAGAAGATTTTCCTAATTAAGGAAATTATGCATGGACCCGCAATGTTCAATGCCAGCGTAGGAAAAACCCTGAAGTGAGTGCCCTTATATAGTTTTCCATTGTCTGAATTTTAGGTTGTAGCAAATGAATAACTACAAAGTAATCAGCATGATATTTTTATGATTCTTCCCATGATCCAAATGACAATGCAGATCATCTTAACATTCACACCAACTCTAATCAAGCAGCAATCAAACTATCTATATACATCTTAAACATGCGTTTCATAAGTCATCACATAAGAGAAATCCAACAAAACATCATGGAGATCACAAGTATTGGCACTAAAATAACAGCACTGGTCATCATATACACATAGAGACTGAAAACAGAGGTTGAATCTGAAAAGGTTTACCTGAGTGGATTTTGATCGAACTATAGCTTCATCGTTCTCGACATACTTGGATGAATTGCAAGCCTTCAACCTCTTCTTTTTCTTCTTCTTCAACCCGCCCTCTTCTACATCTCCCGACTTGGATGAAGAACTACAATGCTTCAATTTCTTCTTCTCTACATCACCATTCTCATTCATAAGTTCCTTTCTCTTCTTTCTATCACCGCTCATTAATCCCTTGCCTTTCTTATCCCCAACCTTCCAAACATTCTTTCTCCTATACAACATCTTCTCAAACTTCCAAGATGGAACACTAGTATCGATAACCGTAACCTCTGTTTGCGAATAAGCCGAAAGATCCCAATAACCTTTCTCCTCCTCCTCTTCTACACGCTCCGTAACCTTCAACTCTTGATTGAGCTCCTTTACTTTACGTCTATTGGTGAGAGTCAATGGCAACAACGGCGAAGAATCCTTGTCCTTTTGAACAGGGACGTCTTGAGCATCCGAATTTGTCGAAAGAACACAGATTCTAGGGCACTGTTGTTTCCTACAATTCTTTTTCCTCTTGATTCTCGACGAATCCTGAAATTCTCCCATTTGAAACAGCTCCGACAGTACATTGTTTATTATATCACGCCCTTGGATGGCTTCACCATCATCACGTTTCTCAAGACGGGGTCTTTTATCCAGAGGAGCAGAATCCGTAGACGTTTGGGGATCAATTTTGTGGAGCGAATTAGAGAGGAAGTGCTCCAGGTTAATGTGATCGGAATCCGGAAAGCCTCTGGAGGAGCGGAGGCGGTGGAGCCATTTGGATGACTTGGAGGAGAGCATTACCGGATTGATCGAAATTGGATAGTGGAGTTGGAGAAGATTTGGGATTTGAATTTAGGGTTTTGGAGTTGACGTTGGGTTCATCGGTGAGAAGGCGTAAGAGTAAAAGACGGTGAGTACACGTGGCATCCAACACCGCTTTTATCCGACTGTCGTCATGTTTGACTTCCTTTCCAACAATTCAAAATTATAAAAAGAGGAGTAAATTTTATTTTTGGTCCATGAGGTTGTCCGTCGCTGTCAAATATCTTTCTTATTTTAAATAATTATACTTTTGTTACTTTGGTTGTTAATTTGTTACATTTTTGGTCCTTATCACTAACTCGTGTTAAATTGATTCGTTAACTTAAGGGTATTTTGGGTTTTTTAACTTCTTTTGTCCTTTTCTCATTTTACTTTTATTAAAATATTATTTTTTATAACCCCGACCCAGATCCAACTATCTTCTTCGGCCAAAATCCTTTCTTCAATAAAGGCATCAAATGAACCCACAGATCAATTTTTACACAAGCAAACCCACATATCGTTCGAGCTCATAGGGACAAACAACTATGACAGATCACTACCTGCAACAACAACAAAGAAGAAGAAATGGGGGGGGGGGGTATTGTTTGGGGTGGATTGCCGTAGAAGAAAAGGACAAATCATAGGGACTAACGACAATTATCTTCTATGGAGAATAAACACAAGCAGGAAGGCCCAAAAAAGCAAAACTATAAACTTATTTTTAGATCCGACGAATCAAAACCAAACCTAAAGAGATGGAGGTCGAGACTATGTAACTCTCCGTTGAAGCAAGCAAAAACAATGGGGTTTTGTAGGTGAAAGCTTACATTCTATAACTCTCTATCAAAGCAGATCACTAGAAATAAAAAGGGGGCAAAGAAAATTTGAGATACTCGTAAAGATTGTCAGAGCAAGTTTGGGGGCTGGGTTCGAGTTCCATCAGATCTTTCTGTCGGATAGGGGGAGGGGTGTGGGAAAGGGGGAGGGTGTTGAAAGAGTCGGCTATGAAGATATGAGTGTTTCTCAAGTTGTGTTTATAAATATATGGTAAAGATGAGTGTTTCTCAAGTTGTGTTTATAATGGTGAAGATGAGTGTTTTCTCAAGTCATGTTTATAGATATATGTCTATATGTTAATATAATATAATATCATAACTTATAATATAATATTATAATAACATTTTTTTAATTTTTTAATTGAAGTCAAAGAAATTATTAGAAGACCAAACATATCATTAAGTTAACCGATTTTTTTTAATAAACATTAGTCAAAGGGACCAAAAGTTTAATAAAGTGGCAACAATGGCGACCAAAAATGTAATTACTTCAAAATATGGATAAGAATTGATAGTGAGTGACAACAATAAGGACCAAGAGTGTAATTTACTCTCAAAATAGTAAAATACTATTTTGGTTGGTGTGTTTATGTTAGACATGGTAACAAAGTGGGGATAGGGTGGGTTATATGATGCTCGGCCCCGGTTCTTGGTCACGGTCCTTGCCCCTGGCGAGTGCAAGGAATTGCATCCTGTCCCGGGTGCCTAATGAGCCTATCCTCGACTCAACCCCGTTCCCTGATTCAAGTTTAGCCTCGCTTCCCGACTCGTTTGTATTTTTGGTAATGCAATATCAATAAAAATTTCATTTGGAATATAGATTGTAATGCCCTCAAATCTGGAAAAGGGCGACTAATTTAAAATTTTCATTAATACAAGTAAAGGGTAAATCATTTTTCTATTAATCAATATATGAATTACCTCAAATATCGAATCCAAAATCATCATCAACAAAAGATAGACAAAACCTTACACAAAGACTGAAAATAAGGTTGGATGTTACTATAACCAAATAATTATTGTTGTTTACAAAGGCAGAAGACATCAACGATAAACTAAAACCTTCTTGTCCAACTATCTAGTACTTATCTCATTACAGTGATGCGAGACCCATTTCCCCAAGGACCTACTACATATGCCAACAAAGAAAAAAGTTAGGCTTAACGCCTAGTGAGCTCAAACAATTTTTATCATAATTATAAAACAGTAAAATCGAAAGACTATTAATTTAAATCGTAATTTTTATAAATGAAATTTATTTATCGTAAAAGCAACATCTTTCCAAAAATCTGCCATTTTCTTGATGAAAACTCACTAATCAAAATACTCAATTATACACAACCAAAACACAGTTCTCACATGACCAAGAATAAAGTTGTGAAACATTAAAAACAGGAAACAAAGCTTTAATCAAGGCTTATAACAATTAACTCAATCTTACCCTTGAAAGGGTGTAAGACATCATAATATGACGGGGGAGACCCGATTTGCCATTGATTGTGACGGAACACAAGCAAGCCACAATTCAATGTGATATAAGAATCACTTATGGATAAACAAACATTGACTTTAACCTTATATGCGTCTTTTGTCATATGGGATAACAAAGTTCAAGTTTATCCAAGTCTTTTGCTTGGGGAGTCACCAAGCTCAACTTTATACAAGTCTTTACCTTAGGATCTCCGAACTCCAAATTAAGCGCAGTAACTAGAAATGACAATCCCTACTTACTACTCGGTCATCAAGTTTAACTCTATCCAATTCTTTTCTTTGACACCACCATTACGAATCACATGGTTATCGAGTTCAACTCTATCCAACTCTTTACCTCCAATCCTCCGCTGATCCGAGTCTCTAGCTACAATATATGGAATACTATCTCATTCCAGCCGACACCTATAACTATTGATAGGCCGGTATTGTCATTTTGGTGGTCCTTTGAAAAAACTTGAATGTGGTCCTATATTTTTTTCAGTTATGCTATTTATTAAATTTTTTGTTACTAAATTAAAAAATAAATATTTATATATTTGAATATATGCAAAACTATAAAATAATTATTAACAAGATTCAAACTGATCATTAATTGTTAAATTAATAATTATAAATATTATATAATAATCTGCTGATAACAATAAAAATTTAATTAGTAAGAAAATTAAAGATAATCACATAATAAGTATAATGTATAATATATAACACAAAGTAGTTTATTGGTAGTGAACACAACAAATTTATATAATAATCTTTTCTTTCTTTTTTGAATTTATAATTAAGTTATGCTAAAAATAAAGAAATTACAAAAAAATTTATATAATTAATAAATCATTAAGAATAAATAAACACTCCTTAAAAAAATCGAAATTTGAGTGTGTGTAACAACCCATCAAGTACTAACAAGTACTAACAATTAAAATACATGCTATAGCATACATCAGTTTCTAATATTTACAAACATTTTAGTCTTGTTTATATATAAGAACGAAAAAACTGAACTCAAAAATTCATCGTAACAAAAACTTTCTTCCACGATTCAGTTACATCTTTCCTTTGCCTTCATCCTTTAACGTTAGATGATCTACAAAATGAATTATCACAACAACTGAGGATTAGACCGGAAGATCTAGTGAGTGAATTCTCTCACGTAAATAAAATATGCTATAATAATTTAATAAAGTTCATACCTGATTTTTTATGATATAATTATCAAACATCCATCGCGGTTACACCGCCATCTATCGCGGTTTCACCGCCATTTATCGCCATAAGCAAGTTTATTGATTAAAATTTGAAATACCTTGATCTGGGCAACACACTGAGCTATACTGAGCAATAAACATTCCCATGTGGATACAACCCTGAAGGATAAATACCCTTATTTGGATAACACTATGATCGATGAGGACCCATATCTGGACAACACTGTAAGCGATGAAGACCTTTACCGGACAATGCTTCAAGCGATGAAGACTCTTACCGGACAACACTTCAAGCGATGAAGACTCCTATCGGGCAACACTTTGAAAGATGAAGATCCTTATCGGACAACACTTCAAGCAATGAAGACTCTTACCGGAAAACACTTCAAGCGATGGAGATTCTTACCGGGCAACACTTTGAACGATGAAGACCCTTATTGGACAGCACTTTGAGCAATGAAGGACCTTATCGGACGTAGCTTTGTGCGATGAAAGATTATAACATATTTGGTGTAATGGTATTTTGATACCAATACACCATCTAATTTCATAAACCAGAGTAATTTTTACATTGAAACGTAATAACTCATATTTTCCAAAACAATGTAAAAACTCACCTTTGTCTTAGACCTCAATGAATGCTCTGCTTTCTTCCCTTTGATAATCAATTTTGCTAAAGTTTTTCACCAAAACCGGAATCAAACCCTTTTCAGTCTCATACTACTTACTACATATAGTAAGTAATGTAAAAGCAGGGGGGGAGTTGAGCCGGTGCATGGACATGCACACCCTCCCCCCACATGGATTCCTTTACTCCCAAAACCTAATTGGACTAAAATCAAAATAAGACAAGGTGGTGACCAATGTTTCACCATTGGTCCCTCATCTTCCAACAAAGGCCGGATCTTTGCTCTTGAACTTCCAATGCTATTTAAATTTGAAACTCGACCAACTATAACTTCAAACAAACATTACAATATCCTCACCGTAGAAGAATTCCGTCCCAAAATTCCACTTAAGTAAACAAATGAGGATATGTTACTCTCATCTTAGACTCGGGTTCCCAGGTGGCTTTTGGCCCCTTATAATAACACGACTAAACATTCACTAATTCGATCTCTTTATTTCTCAGCGCTTTTACTTTGAAATCTGTAATGGCTTCAATGGTCTCTTCAAAACACAACTTTTCATCAATTTTTGATTTCTGGTAGTGGCACAACTACTTCTGGGTTTGCTAGACACTTTCTTAGATTTGATATATGAAAAGTGTTAAGAATACCACTTAACTCCATGGAAAGTTCTAATTTGTATGTCACTTCTCCAACCCGTTCAAGGATAAGAAATGGTCCAATATACCTTGGGCTTAACTTACCTTTATTTTCGAAATGGACAAATCCTTTCCAGGGTGATACTTTCAACATCACTTTATCACCAACTTGAAACTCAATCGGCTTACGACGTTTATCATCATAACTTTTTTGCCGATCTTGGACTACTTTCATTTGTTCACGAAGCTGATTAATCTTATTAGCCATCAACTAAACTATATCAGGTCCAGCCAACTGTTTCTCACCCACTTCGTTCCAACACAAC